CGGCTTCAGCTGTCTACATGATACCTGTGCTTGCTGTAACTGGTGAGCCCAGCGTTTATTGCTTGAATCCCTGACACTAATGGCCTGTAATACCATGTAACACATATGTTTTCTTGTGGTATTGGCATCCAAGTAACATGTGCTTGCAAGAGGCGACTAAATGGATCGAGTGATCAGGCTGGGTAACTTGGTTGATTGCGTGTCATAGTATCCCAGTTGTGTTGATGATATGTTCATGGAGTCACTGAATTGTCTTGTCCAGACTCAATTATTTACAGACCGCCGCCATATAGCTGGAATATTGTTTATCGGCGTTAAACAACTAACAAAACAAAATCTCGTCGAGAGAACTGTTTTGATATGGTCAGAGACCACGTACAAGAGGGCTCTATTTTGTGGTCCCTGATAAGGTGTACTTTGAAAATGAATTTAGTAGAATCCCCACTTTGTTTTATTCGACAAAAATAATGTGTTCAGTATACACCCACAACTGTAGCGAGTTGGGTTTGGTCCGTTATAACGAGGGGGCCACGAGTCGCCTCGTGGTTTGATGTTCCGCAGTTTGCTGTACGCTATAAGAGTTGCGTCCCTTGCACTTCTCAGGTCCCGTTCGTCGTGGGTTTGAATCCTAGATTCATAGTTCGTGGTTTGTCAGTACCACATCCTTCATCGAGGGTCTACGATTTGAGTAAAGTAAATCTTTTCTCCCACAAGAAGAAGGCACGTTGTAATATAACTGAAATAATGTTCAAACTGTGTTCAATAAAACTCACTCATTCAGTGTTATAATTACGAAAATCAGAGAGCAGGTTCAATTTTATGTGACTATCCTTGATACCGTTATAAACGATGAAGTAAGTTCTTCGTGAGCACGTGATGGTTGTTTTTTTAGTCTTCAGACACAATGTTAGCTGGTATTTCTCGAGGTGTAAGACTGGCGATGTCATCAAGTCCGAGACTCACGCATATGCACAAGTAACGAGCCTCGTATTGCGAAATGTTATGTTTAAAATACGTGGCAGGCACTTTAAACAATGTGTTGTTTCCTCTGTCGTCCATTGAAGGATGTGCGTCATGCATGATGCAAAACACATGTTACTCCACGTGACGTACGCCACAGCGGCAGCTTGCATGTGGACCGGCGCCGGGCTGGGGTGTCGTGATGTGAGTGACAACGCCGGGGTGGGGTGTCGTGATGTGTGTTACCGCGCCAGGGTGGGGTGTCGTAATGTGTGACAGCGCCGGGGTGGGGTATCGTGATGTGTGTGACAACGCCGGGCTGGGGTATCGTGATGTGTGTGACAGCGCCGGGTTGGGGTATCGTGATGTGTGTGACAGCGCCGGGGTGGGGTATCGTGATATGTGTGCCAGCTCCGGGGTGGGGTGTCTTGATGTGTGTGACAGCGCCGGGATGGGGTGTCGTGATGTGTGTGACAGCGCCGGGCTGGGGTATCGTGATGTGTGTGACAGCGCCGGGCTGGGGTATCGTGATGTGTGTGACAGCGCCGGGGTGGGGTATCGTGATGTGTGTGACAGCGCCGGGCTGGGGCATCGTGATGTGTGTGACAGCTCCGGGGTGGGGTATCGTGATGTGTGTGACAGCTCCGGGCTGGGGTATCATGATGTGTGTGACAGCGCCGGGGTGGGGTATCGTGATGTGTGTGACAGCTCCGGGGTGGGATATCGTGATGTGTGTGACAGCGCCGGGGTGGGGTATCGTGATGTGTGTGTCAGCTCCGGGGTGGGGTATCATGATATGTGTGACAGCTCCGGGGTGGGGTATCATGATATGTGTGACAGCGCCGGGCTGGGGTGTCTCGATGTGTGCCTGCTCCGGGGTGGGGTATCGTGATGTGTGTGACAGCTCCGGGCTGGGGTATCATGATGTGTGTGACAGCGCCGGGGTGGGGTATCGTGATGTGTGTGACAGCGCCGGGGTGGGGTATCGTGATGTGTGTGACAGCTCCGGGGTGGGGTATCATGATATGTGTGACAGCTCCGGGGTGGGGTATCATGATATGTGTGACAGCGCCGGGCTGGGGTGTCTCGATGTGTGCCTGCTCCGGGGTGGGGTATCGTGATGTGTGTGACAGCGCCGGGCTGGGGTATTGTGATGTGTGTGACAGCTCCGGGCTGGGGTATCGTGATATGTGTCACAGCGCCGGGCTGGGGTGTCTCGATGTGTGCCAGCTCTGGGGTGGGGTATCGTGATATGTGTGACAGCTTCGGGGTGGGGTATCGTAATGTGTGTGACGGCTCCGGGATTGGGTATCGTGATGTGTGTGACAGCGCCGGGCTGGGGTGTCTCGATGTGTGACAGCTCCGGGGTGGGGTATCGTGATGTGTGTGACAGCGCCGGGCTGGGGTATTGTGATGTGTGTGACAGCGCCGGGCTGGGGTATCGTGATGTGTGTGACAGCTCCGGGGTGGGGTATCGTGATGTGTGTGACAGCGCCGGGGTGGGTTATCGTGATGTGTGCCAGCGCCGGGCTAGGGTATCATGATGTGTGACAGCTCCGGGCTGGGGTATCGTGATGTGTGTGACAGCGCCGGGGTGGGGTATCGTGATGTGTGTGACAGCTCCGGGCTGGGGTATCGTGATGTGTGTGACAGCGCCGGGGTGGGGTATCGTGATGTGTGTGACAGCTCCGGGCTGGGGTATCGTGATGTGTGTGACAGCGCCGGGGTGGGGTATCGTGATGTGTGTGACAGCTCCGGGGTGGGGTATCATGATATGTGTGACAGCTCCGGGGTGGGGTATCATGATATGTGTGACAGCGCCGGGGTGGGGTATCGTGATGTGTGTGACAGCGCCGGGCTGGGGTGTCTCGATGTGTGCCAGCTCCGGGGTGGGGTATCGTGATGTGTGTGACAGCGCCGGGGTGGGGTATCGTGATGTGTGTGACAGCGCCGGGGTGGGGTATCGTGATGTGTGTGACAACGCCGGGGTGGGGTATCGTGATGTGTGTGACAGCTCCGGGGTGGGGTATCGTGATGTGTGTGACAGCTCCGGGCTGGGGTATCATGATGTGTGTGACAGCGCCGGGGTGGGGTATCGTGATGTGTGTGACAGCTCCGGGGTGGGATATCGTGATGTGTGTGACAGCGCCGGGGTGGGGTATCGTGATGTGTGTGACAGCTCCGGGGTGGGGTATCATGATATGTGTGACAGCTCCGGGGTGGGGTATCATGATATGTGTGACAACGCCGGGCTGGGGTGTCTCGATGTGTGCCTGCTCCGGGGTGGGGTATCGTGATGTGTGTGACAGCGCCGGGCTGGGGTATTGTGATGTGTGTGACAGCTCCGGGGTGGGGTATCGTGATATGTGTCACAGCGCCGGGCTGGGGTGTCTCGATGTGTGCCAGCTCCGGGGTGGGGTATCGTGATATGTGTGACAGCTTCGGGGTGGGGTATCGTAATGTGTGTGACGGCTCCGGGATTGGGTATCGTGATGTGTGTGACAGCGCCGGGCTGGGGTGTCTCGATGTGTGACAGCTCCGGGGTGGGGTATCGTGATGTGTGTGACAGCGCCGGGCTGGGGTATTGTGATGTGTGTGACAGCGCCGGGCTGGGGTATCGTGATGTGTGTGACAGCTCCGGGGTGGGGTATCGTGATGTGTGTGACAGCGCCGGGGTGGGTTATCGTGATGTGTCCCAGCGCCGGGCTAGGGTATCATGATGTGTGACAGCTCCGGGCTGGGGTATCGTGATGTGTGTGACAGCGCCGGGGTGGGGTATTGTGATGTATGACAGCGCCGGGGTGGGGTATCGTGATGTGTGACAGCGCCGGGGTGGGGTTTCGTGATTTGTGTGACAGCGCCGGGGTGGGGTATTGTGATGTGTGAAAGCTCCGGGTTGGGGTATCGTGATGTGTGTGACAGCGCCGGGGTGGGGTATTGTGATGTGTGACAGCTCCGGGTTGGGGTATCGTGATGTGTGACAGCGCCGGGGTGGGGTTTCGTGATGTGTGTGACAGCGCCGGGCTGGGGTATCGTGATGTGTGTGACAGCGCCGGGGTGGGGTATCGTGATGTGTTTGACAGCGCCGGGCTGGGGTATCGTGATGTGTGTGACAGCGCCGGGGTGGGGTATCGTGATGTGTGATAGCGCCGGGCTGGGGTATCGTGATGTGTGTGACAGCGCCGGGGTGGGGTATCGTGATGTGTGATAGCGCCGGGCTGGGGTATTGTGATGTGTATGAAAGCGCCGATGTGGGGTATCATGATGTGGACCGCCGCCGGGCTGGGGTATTGTGATGTGTGTGACAGCGCCGGGGTGGGGTATCGTGATGTGTGTGACAGCTCCGGGCTGGGGTATCGTGATGTGTGACAGCTCCGGGCTGGGGTGTCGTGATGTGTGTGGCAGCGCCGGGCTGGGGTGTCTCGATGTGTGTGACAACGCCGGGCTGGGGTATCTGTTATGATTAGAAAAAAAAAGCTAAAGTGGTATCTTTTAACCTAACTGTGTGCGGGATCTGACATTTTTTAGAGCAAAATATTATTTCAGAATTGCAACAGACGATTGATGTCACGTGTTAATTTAACAGTAATGTAGATAATTGCATGCAGACCTACCAACGGATCAGAAGTAGAATGACAAGTCGGATGTAACGAAAAGTCGGGTATAACGCACCAAGTATTGATATCTCATAAAGTGGTCCTCACCATTAACACTGCAGCTGTCTGGATCCGCTGATCGTGGCATCCCCCCGTTATGATCCCTGATCCGTCAGCACCCACCCTCTAGGATTCACCTAACTGGTAAGCCTCAACAATCTCCATCTCCATAACTCTCTCCCCATTTTATTCTGACATCCCGCGACATCACTAAATGTGTCCCAACTTAAACAATACTGAAATATAATAATTTTCTCTCGGGTGTGTCTTGTACAGTCAGAAGTCTATATTCAACGAGGAAGCCGCCTCGTGGCTTTTGCCGGCTGCTTGCTGTATGGCTTCAATATAGCTTCTTGCAGGCCAGTTCCTTCTCTAGACGGACATATGGTCTGTGTATGTGGATCATTCCGAAGCAAGTGGCTGGCTTCGAGAGAAACCAAGTGTTACTGTTCTATATGTCTCCGCATGCGTCTCACCATGGCCATCGAATGTTGTCCAAACAACAGGCAACGCTTATAAAGGTGCGGCAGTGGATTTGAACTTTCACCGGCCACTTTTTCTTCGACGTCCAACACAACTGGACGCGCGCACCTCACACTGAGGTTATTGACCCCGCCGGTACCATATTTTCAGCCATGATCAGGAGTTTTTTTGTCGTCTGCTCGGTGCGCGAATTACGTCTGCTTATGTGATCGTCTGCTGTGGTGATGTAACTGGCGAAGGATGACTTTTGATCCTTGCAGCTTCCTGCTGAGGGGGAGAAACGCGTTGAGATGACACTATGTCAGTAGAATCCCCACGGATATACGATAGTGGAAGAAACAGCTGGCTTCCCCCTTAACGCTGAGATAAGGTTCATTGAAGCGGGGGTTGCCACCAAGTAGCTACGGCCCGTCAGATAAAGCAGATAGCACAGAGTGGAAGCGCTCAATAGCTGATACAAGCGTCAGTTTGCAAACGCGATGGATGTATAAACATTCCTAATAGCCGCATGGACTGTGTTTGGACAGCTATGTAGAAAAGTAGGGACAATATTATATCTGTATGCCACGGAGGCAACAGAGCCGATCGAGACAGATAGCAGACAACCATTTGATAGACGAGCAGACGATATAATATCAATGTATATTTTCCCGGTGTGTTGCATGTTGAGGACTTGAGTGAAACAACGTCAGGATATACGTGTTGTGCTTAAAATCCACGCCGGAGTTGAGTAACGTTGATGCAGTGCAGATGATGTGGGTGCACACATGTGCAGGTGGTGCGATGTAACGCGCAGAGTGCAGTATCAACGAGGTGCAGACTCCCGACTCGAGCTGGATAGTAGACTGTATCTTCTACACCATTGCCTGACCGACTGGACAAGTTGTTGTACCGAAGCAGGTAAATAGACCAACATGTTTGACCATACTCCCTCAGTAGTGTTGCTATAACACAGCCGAGCTGGAACATCCGCACAGTGCCAGGTTTCTATTACAAGCACCCCTATGACCCCAATATCGCTATCTGGGAGTTAGGTTTACCATCCTTCAGCGTTATATCGGTACTTACTACATGCATATACGTTTAACAACAGATTAACCTCATTGTCGATTAGTTTATTCATAGCAAATCACAAATTGCTGGGAAAAGGATTTCCAATTCATATTCTGATAAATTCTTCTCACAGTGGAAACCAATCAGCCTACCTACATTATGATAGTTATTGTTGTGTAATTATGTATTAAACATTACCTACATGACGTATCTCCTTAAATGTATAAGAATTCATAACTCTCCGCCTCCTTATATAAAACAGCATCTACATTTTCTGAATATGTTAATCATGATAATACTTTCATATACTTAGTACTTATTCAAAGTACGTTAATGAAATATGTAAACACACAACCTTTTCCCATATTGATCATGTCATGATACACACGTATGACCTGAAGTAATTATTAATTATTACTGACTTTGATAAGAGGTTTTATGTATCAAAGTAGTTTATTCGATTGCAGGTATTCGTGTATCAATTATTGTAGTATAGGCGGAGGAAATGGCGTCATCAACAGAATGGTACTGTAGAGTAGATCTAAACGAAAATAGACCCATTAAAAATAGTTACAATTTCCTGTGTCAACGTACAAAGGGTATAACGTCGGCTGGATGATTGCACTTTGATTTTGCTTTGTTGAAATAGATGTTATTAGGAATATAGTTGTTGTATATAAATACTACACTACAGGTGCCTCTACCCACCAGTTTGAGTTGCTGTAGGGTTATATGCATACTGTAGGGTTATATGCATACTGTAGGGTTATATGCATACTGTAGGGTTATATGCATACTGTAGGGTTATATGCATACTGCTATACCCTGCACATAGTGTGATGTGGCTGCAGACATCAATATGTTTTAATGCATGACATTTTCCATGCACGCTATACTCCTTTCAAAGGCCATGTGCAGGATATGTATCGGGTCGCTGGTTTTATAATGCTCGACTTAATGCCGGGTCACGTGTCAATGTATCATCTGCACTACATTGCGACGTCGGTACTGGGATATATACGGACTGTCAGCTCTTTGAGTATGTAGTGACGTAGCCTTGCTCCTAGGCTTTACTGAAAGATAAGTCCATGGATGTGTAGTAATTCTATCCTCCTAATATGCAAGTCTAGATATGTGAACAGTACTAAGGTCGCCAGTCTCTTATAGGGGCAACTGTTTCTTATTATTTACATAATGTAGACATTATGATTTAAACTAATGCTTGAGAGAGAGAGAGAGAGAGAGAGAGAGAGAGAGAGAGAGAGGGAGAGGGAGAGAGAGAGAGAGAGAGAGAGAGGGAGAGAGAGAGAGAGAGAGAGAGAGAGGGAGAGGGAGAGAGAGAGAGAGGGAGAGGGAGAGAGAGGGAGAGAGAGAGAGGGAGAGGGAGAGAGAGAGAGAGAGGGAGAGAGATAGAGAGGGAGAGGGAGGGAGAGAGGGAGAGAGAGAGAGAGAGCAAACATATTGATAATATGACATTATTCAGTGGTTACAGGCGGGGCTATGAATCTAATAAACACGTCATGTATAATTTCTGCTATCGCTGTGGCATGGTCTGAGAGAGAATTGAAGGATTAATACGGTATGCACAGGTAATGTTTAGAACTGAAACACTTAACTGAATATAAAAGTTTCAAGTACGGCGACTGTCATCGATTGCTCACAGTTCGAAATAAGTAGAGAGAAAACGAAGGAGATAGTGTGAGATGGAAGGAAAGAGTAAAAGAGATAATGGGTGAGTGAGGGTTTGTGGACTGGAGCAACACACAACAGTCGGTGTCCGTGGTTCAGCTGTGCCAGATGTAGTAGCCCCGCGTCATGACTCTGGAAGTTATATTTAGTTAGTTTCATGTTTTCGCTAAAGTCGGGGCAAGCTAAAACAAGTCTAATTTCGTTGATTCACATGAAAATAGCAGAGTAGGAATGGTTTTAAAAAAAAATAAAAATATTACAATTATGTTAAAGACATGTTTTTATAGTCTAAGAGAGTGAGTCTACAGATGTAGTAGCGCACTGGTCACCACACGGCGTTGTTGGGTAGAGTTAATCTCGGCAACTGACGGAGATACATGTGCCAAAGTCATCACACACATGTTATCATCCACACATGTTATCAGTGGCCGTTCCCGATAGCTACGGTAAGACTGATAACCTAACACCAGCACCCCCCCCCCCCCCCCCCCACACACACACACCCAATAACCTTATAACGTATATAAACGTACGAAATATATTGCAACCTTAGTTCAGTATCTCGATAACATTGTAGAAACACGCTCAAAATTCAATGTTACATTTCAATATATATATAATCATCAATGTTGATTTTGAAATAAAACACGAGATCATTTTCCTGTCATTGCACCTACTGAATATTCATGGTTTGATTACCAAACATTAGGTCATCCATAAACAAAGTATGTGATTAAAAACAAATAACAAAAGTTCCAAAAGGTGCTAAGCACAACAATAAATGGAAGGGTATAAAGTGAACTACTTGAACACTACTTTATACAAATTATCAGGACAACAAATAAATATTTGAGAAATTCCCAGCTATCTGATTACCATGCAGGTAGCTGTCCGCTTTACCGCAGACTCCGTTATTAGCAGAGTAGAGACTAACCTCAGTGTCTACAGTTCGGCACTGCATATAACACGGCGTTTGTCTACAGTTCGGCACTTCTAAATATCAGTTTGCTTATAAACCAGCAAGACACCAGGTTACTCATGAAGATCCGGGTTACTATAAGCCTTCAGCAACCGATGCTTGTCGTAAGAGGCAACTAACAGGAACGGGTGGTCAGGATCGCGGACTTGTTTGATGCATGTCATCGTATCGCAATTACGTGGGTCCATGCTCATGATATCAATCACTGGATTGTCTGGTCCAGACTCGATTTCTTACAGAGAGCGAGAGCGTCTACCAAATAACACTGTATAACGGGGGTACGTTATAAAGAGACAGCAACACGCGATGCCACATACATGACGCCAGCCCTGAATGTCAGTCTAGCTATCAGTTAGATCGCTGGCCCTTACTATATATTATCTGGACATACGTCCTCGCATCGTACCGTATTCCTCAGCTAGTTTTCCGCTTTTCGCTCTCAAATATATATGTATAAAACTCTCACAACCCGGAAGTGGACACTTTGAAATGAACAGCAAGGTCGAGAGAATCTCTGTCCTCGCGCTTTTAAGCGTGCTTGTATCAACGACTTACACGTGTGGTTTCCTTAAAGTAATCATTGCGATACTGAAACTGTTTTTTAACAGACAATGAACATTTGTGAGATGGTTATGAAACATCCGAACCCTACACCTTCATTCTTGAAGGTATTTACAATATGTATTCGACGCTTTCAAACCTCGCGTCGATTAATTGCAAAGCTGCTGACGAGTCGAAAGGTAATATTACGAGAAGTAATAGCTTCCAAATATGAATTTGAAATCTCAATTCGTTTTATATATGTATTCAAATTCATTTTGAAATTTGAAATCTATATAAACCTGCGAGCTTTGTTTAATGACTTGGGGTGAGCTCCTTTGAATTAAGCAGTCGTTAGAGAGACCATCCACACAGTCGTAAAGCCTGTTCTGATCCTCCCAAGCTGGTGTTAATTAGGTGAGAAGTTATTTAATGGCCGTAATTGGGTTTCCGGTGATGCTACCAACTATATCGACTGACCTCCAGCTGTAGGTAGGTGAGGAACAGTGCACAGTCTTTCTTTTAAATGCTTGAGGTGAGTAAGTGGGGTTGTTATGGAGCTTGTAAAGCGCTACACCACACAATCTCCACCAGAGTTTACCATGTATTCCCTGGAAATCGAACCTGCGTCTTTGGTGTATAATAAGCACTAGGCTGTCCCTAGTCTCCAACAGACCCTGATACACAATATCCGACATGACTCCAAGGAACACTACAATACTTTGGTAAGTTCAGACTAGTTATAAGGATGTTCTCCGAGCTTGGTCTTATTAAAAGACTATAGATAATGTCCATGAAAGTGTATTCATGAACCAGTTGAAAACACATAAGATTCATTTCTTAGGAGGCCATCACTTATTGTAGCTTCTTTTTTTTTGCTTGTTTGTTGATTAATATTCAAGTTATATGCCGGCGGCCTATGGTTATTGTAGCACAGGTTTGAATGTTCTTTAGTGGAACATCTAGAAAATCAGATGTAGGACACGCACGCACACACAATATTAAAACGCACATTTCGATGTTTGAACTGATATAGTATATTCTGTATTGAAAACCCATGCCTAAATTACATAAGCATGTTGGGATAAACCCTAAAACAGTTTCCTTTTGTCATGTGTCGTGTTGTGGCGTCTGGATGTAGAACACACGTGTAAACGATGCACACCGTGTGCCTGTCTCATTGTGTCATTGTGTCATTGTCTCAGTGGCTGCGACGTCCGCCGACCACATGTAGCGGCGCTCGGGGTTGGGTCCTCAACACAACCCTTCATTGTTGGCTTTGCCAGGAAGCGCTATACGTCGCTGTTCTAACACACGCTGCTTGTACACATGTGATCTTAAAGTTTATGATTTTCTTCATTAATGAACCACCAGCTTGTAGCTTATGATCAAGGAAACGTCTCACATACATGTAATATCGAAAAAATTAAAGGGTGTCCTAAAAGGATAGGTTCAACTACGGTGACTTTGATACACAGATACCTAACACTAATGACCTAGTAGTACAAGGAACGTGTAGAATTGTCTTCTAAAAAGTTCGAATTCCGAAGTCTATCTTTGCTCCAAGGCTGTACTGAATGATAAGTCCACAGGTGTATGTAGAGTAATTCTTGCAAGTCTAGATAAGCTGTTTATATTA